AAAAATAGAGAAAGGGGCAGGGCGGACCTTAAAACGCAGTATAATAAAAGGTCCGCCTTTTGTATTTCAGATATCGTACTATTACAAGGCGAAAACTTTGAACAGGTTTATTTTCGTAGCATAAAAACTAGAGAAAGAGGCAGGGCGGACCTTAAAACGCAGTATAATAAAAGGTCTGCCCTCTGTTTTTCAGATATTTTACCATTAGAAAGCAAACATTTTGGACAGGGTTTATTTCCGTAACATAAAAACTAGTCAAAATGACAGGGCGGACCTTAAATCGCAGTAAAATAAAAGGTCCGCCCTCTGTTTTTCAGATACCGTAGTGTTAGAAGGCGAAAAATTTTGAACAGGGTTTATTTTCGTAGCATACAAACTAAAGAAAGAGACAGGGCGGACCTTAAAACGCAGTATAATAAAAGGTCCGCCCTCTTTATTTCAGATATCTTACTATTACAAGGCGAAAATTTTGAACTGGGTTTATTTTCGTAGCATACAAACTAGAGAAAGAGACAGGGCGGACCTTAAAACGCAGTATAATAAAAGGTCCGCCCTCTATATTTCAGATATCCTACTATTACAAGGCGAAAATTTTGAACGGGGGTTATTTTCGTAGCATAAAAACTAGAGAAAGAGACAGGGCGGACCTTAAAACGCAGTATAATAAAAGGTCCGCCCTCTACATTTCAGAAATCTTACTATTACAAGGCGAAAATTTTGAACGGGGTTTATTTTCGTAGCATACAAACTAGAGAAAGAGACAGGGCGGACCTTAAAACGCAGTATATTTAAAGGTTCGACCTCTATATTTCAGATATCTTACTATTATAAGGCGAAAATTTTGAACAGGGTTTATTTTCGTAGCATAAAAATTAGAGAAAGAGACAGGGCGGACCTTAAAACGCAATATAATAAAAGGTCCGCCCTCTTTATTTCAGATATCTTACTATTACAAGGCGAAAATTTTGAACAGGGTTTATTTTCGTAGCATACAAACTAGAGATAGGGCGGACCTTAAAACGCAATATAATAAAAGGTCCGCCCTCTATATTTCAGATATCTTACTATAACAAGGTGAAAATTTTGCATAGGGTTTATTTTCGTAGCATACAAACTAGAGAAAGAGACAGGTCGGACCTTAAAACGCAGTATAATAAAAGGTCCGCCCTCTTTATTTCAGATATCTTACTATTACAAGGCGAGTATTTTGAACAGAGTTTATTAAAGTTATCGTAGCGTAAAAAAAAATCGTTAAAATGGCAGGGCGGACCTTAAAACGCAGTATAATAAAAGTCCGCCCTCTGTTTTTCTTTTTTCCCACATACATGTATCTCACTTACAAAGCAAAAATTATGGAAATGCTGTAAGTTCCTATTGTTTTTTTTCTTTGTTGGTTCGTGTGTTTTTCCAGGGTAAAAAGATAATTAGGTTTTTAATTTTAGGATGGACGCTAAATTAACTTAGAAAACTCTTGGAATGGCCTAATTGTGCATAAGAATTGCATATATACTACATGTAGTAGTGTACTTTTTTCATTTAATATGCTGACAAAAAGACAAAACTTTAATGTCAATTAATTATCCACTCTATGTACGTTTGCAGGAGATGTGTCTACTGTATTGTATGTCTATATGCAACCATAAACATCTGTCTGAAGGGACCAAGGATATATATTATTATTTAATTAGTAATGTTGATGACGTGCAACAAGAGAACTATTAACCCCCCCCCCCCATCACACACACATAAATAAAAAAGAAATAGCCGCTTAAAGTCGTAGAAAATCTTATTTAAACCAAAATCAAAATAAATATAAAAAATATTAACAAAAGAACACGACTTGGTGGTGTTTTATGAATTTTTATATCAGTCACGATCTCAACAGACACTCCTTTTTATTTTAGGGGGAAATACATGTCAAGTTGCTCTGTAAAACCCCTCTGTAAATAGTATGGGTGGATAAGATTCTCCCTAGTAAGAAGGTGGAAAAGGAGAAAATTCTGTACTGAAGCGTACTGAGTATTTCCTATGGTGGATAATAAAGCCGGGGTTGTTTCTTCCAAGCTCGCTGCATGTCGTTTCCGAAATTTTGCATTGCATTTCCGACATTTTTTGTTTTCATTTTACAATACAATCAACACTAAGTCTAGTAAAAATACAAAGTTTAGTAATAAAATGCAATAATTTCAATAATAAAACATGCAATTTTTGATCACCAAATTTTAATGCCCACTGAATTATATGTGTTTGAAAGCACCGAAAAACAGAATCTCCTCTACTTTGATTACTTTATTCCGTCAAACATAGTTTCTGTATGTCATAAATTCTATCTAAACCTTTCTGATCTCAAATTCAGTCTGATTATCTTGATTTGAAAAGATGAACAAACATTCACAACTTACACTTACATGTGTCCGAGGATAAAATCGTCATAAGATTCTTTTAAATATAAGCAGAACTTATTATTTGGAAATCAATGAATTATTCTTGATTTATTCTTTAATTTTTTTATAAGGGAAATTTCAATTCTGTTTTCATTGCCGGAAAAGTACTTTATGATGATAAATGTCAGAGATGAAAATTTATAAACGTCAGAAATGAAAACTACAAAATGTAGGGAATGAAATAAACAATATTAAAAAAAAAAAATCCGAAATGAAATCCTATGCTAGGCTCATTTTCCAAAAGGGGAGGGGTCTTTAAACCCAAGCTCGTTTCTCCGGGAAAAAATATTAATGCGGGAGGAAAGGCAACAACATCAGTACTTTTTAAACTATTTGACATGTATCAGCATAATTTTGCTATACCCCACCCACCAAAAATACAACAACACAATTTATAATCTTTTCCTTTTTGGGGGGAAGGGTGTTTTATTGCTTAAAATGTTCAACTCGATTGACTTTGGTTTGATTTTGCCAATTAATGCACATCTTCCTTAACCAGTGTTAACCCCGGGGTAATATCAAGTAGAATGAAATAATCGGTAGTCTTTAACTGGATAAGAAACGATGGTTATAAAAACACGGGGGATATGCGACTTCAAGTTTTGTCAGGTGAGACAATAGGTCTACCCCCCAAAGCACAGACATGTTGTTTTAACAACAATGGGATAGGCTAGTACACCGTAACACAAGTCCCTGTCAAAGTGACCCTCCAATTATTTTATAGTAAGGTACAATATGAATCGTAAGAATTATGCATAATTATTATTAATGATATAATGAAATATCTTTCGAAAGATATGAAAATTCTTTTTGGGAAGTGGAAGTCGAACGTTGTTAGGAAAGAGACTGTAATGAAATGATCATTGTTGGACTTACGAACACCATATACTAAACAATGTGCCAGTGAAGGTATGCGTATTATATATATGTATTTTTTTTTTAATTTTGCAATGATAATATTGATATCACTTAAACTATAAAAGACACATGTCGTACATGATTTTTCCATAAGGTAACTCGATCAACAGATCTTTGCATCTTTATATTTTTTGTTTTGTGCACTACCTGGGAGGTATGTACTACGATAAGGAGCTAACAGTTAATCAGTGCTAACATCAAATTTTGAATAATTTTTTGATAGATAATTTGAGGTTTTGTACTGAGATATATCATAGTATTAGAAATATAATTAATTAAAATTGGCTAACGAAATCCAGCAACTAGCGAGATATCGCAAGACTTGATCCTTCTAGTATATATACAATGTACATACATGTACGTCCCTGGAACTCCATTTTGCTGGGAGGGACACTTTTATAACAACTATACCTTAAATAATTTAAAAAGATTAATAAAGCAAATTAATTTCGAATCAATAAAGGAGAAAAATCTGCATATAAAACCGAAGGCGGACCTTTTATTATAGAGGCAGGCCGGACCTTATATGTTATCGTATTAGGTCCCCCCGGACCTTTAAACGAGGCGGACCAAATATTATGCGACACCGGTCGGTAGGGGATGGTGACTTCTCCATGGCCTGATCCCACCTGTGATGTTTTAGAGGTTCGTGTTTGCTCTACTCCCGATTTGTATTGTTTCAATGGACTTCTGAGCTTGTTTAGTGTTCGTTATCCTCATATTTCATAAACAACGATCATATTTATAATCCAAGTTAACATACAATACTAGCACTAAGAGTACTTTTATTCATTCAAACAATAAAATGCTTTCTCCGATAATAAAGGTATGAACAGTTGCAACTATTGCAGAAAAAAAAATTACATTACCAGCGCCAGCCATGTATTTTTCTTTTCTGAAATGGTTACAACTAACAAACAGAGAACGACATTTTATTGTCACAATTATGTCTGTAAAAAAATCGTTAGAAAATCAGTTTAAGTGCTTAAAATATTGTATTATTGTTCTGCACGTCATGATTTGTTAATGGATTGATTAGGGAGAATGGTTTTCTTAAGAAATAAATGAGAACATTGAGAACATATTCAGTGGATGTAAATATTAATAAATAAGTCCCGTATCAAGAGTTTACAAAATCTCGATCTTCCTTTTAAATATATTTTTATCTTCAAATCTATAATAAAATTCTTGTATCTGTAAGCCTTTGTTTTTTGCTGAACAACACTATATTTTACACGATGTCAATAACAAAAGTCCTAGTCTTATTTATTTGCATGGTATAATTTGTCGAGGAATCCAGGCATGCAATACCAGGTTAAAATTTATGTCGAAACAAACTCCAAAGTTAATTGCTTTTAGCACAAGTGTTTCAAATGCGTTAAAGACGTTATAGAACTATCAGTTGACGAATGTCAGTGTCAGAAAAGAGGGACAATTCTGGAAAATTGCACTTTGTGGATTAATATAGATATCTGAAAATCAGACTTCTGTTCTTCATCATTTAAATCTTTTAAATTCTTTACAGAAGGTAAGAATTCAAACACACACTAGGTTATTAGAGTTTATCAAAGCTGATAACACCTTAGTCTTAATGCATTAAAACTTCAAATAAAAAGAGAACTGCAAAAAAGCAATGAATTATGCATTGTACTTTAATTTTTATTGAAAACATCGATTAACAAACAATAGAAAAAAACCCTTGTATCTACCGCTCCTCAATTTGCAGCAACCCTGAAACAGTAAAATAAACAGTGCATATTCATCTTCATCTTTACAATCACGTCTTGAAGTACAAGTTAAAAAACAGTTCTTGTAGACTTACCAGGTTTGATGTGATTGAGGGCTCGCTTTGCCCAGATAATGGCGTCCTGCATGGATTTACGTCTGTCAAGAATATCGAGGAGAGGCGTGGTGTCCAAATCTTTCTTCTTGTCGTCTAAAAAACAAGAAAATAAGTTACCAATGTCAACACTCAGCATTACTACGCCTACGCAAAGAATGATTGTGTGGTTAAGCAAAATCTGTAATTAATAACTGATTTAAGATAAATGAGAAGTACTATTCCAAAATCTTGTTGAATTTTCATATGTATTAATTAACAGTCCTTTAAGTCGTATTCAATTCATGTAGACTTGATCAATATAAATACCATCGTTGGCGAGTATGACTAGTTTACAACCAAAGATCTGGATATCAACATTGTCTGGAAATCTGCCCATGATGTCAATCACCATGGATACATCATAGCACTCCAGTAAATCTCCAAGGTCTTCGCTGTCTGCAAGCAAAAATTTAAAAAAGTGTGTAATTTACACTGGATCTAAAGATACTTGGAAATATTCTGACATGTAGAGTATTTAAAATAATACTTACCCGATTTTAATAAATTTTCTAATGTCATGAAAGCCACAACGATTAGTCTTGGTTCATCCTGGAATCTATCAAGGGTGGACAGTAGAGTTCTCATTCCTTCCCGGTGTAGGAATGCACTGCTTACAGAGTCTGAAATACCAAAAAATTCCTCATTTCTTATATATATCCCCATAAAACTCTACATCTAACACTATAAACAAAAAAATACAATGGCTTTTATTTATAGGATCAGCGTGTTGATCAGGATTGGATATTGCCTTACAGAAAAATTACCTTGGTCTTCTGTCATATAACAAAGAGCCCCACAGCATACGATCTGTAGGTCAAGTTCTTCTGGAAAATTCTTCATGGCAGAGTGAATCAACGATAAAATCTCTGTTGAAAACCTCGAGTGGAATCCATCTGAAAGAATCAGATTTAAACATTTACAACGAATTTATTTTCCTTAGTTTTTTTTATTATTCAGTGAAGAAAAATTCATTTCACAAAGATAAAAAAGAGATAATGGACAAATTGCTTTGACATACTCATTGCCAGAGCTGCTAGGATCTTAGAGCCATAGTACTGTAAGTCATATGTTGTTGTGTTGGTGTTTAATAAATCCACTAACTTATCAAACGATCCGCCATCCATTAACATCCGGCAGCCATTCACTACAGAAGGGAACAATACCACGAGTTAAACTTAAGTTGTAATGTTATTTTATTTTAAACCTTGAAGCATCACGTTTTTTAAAACATCAAGCTAATTTTTCCCTGGGAGATATGGTTACTTACCATTGGAGACAAGTTTTTCATAATACTGGACCAGATAGACATCCACGTTACTGCCACTGCCCTGTCCCTCAGTCACTGTACTAAGGACTCGTTCTATGTTCTCTAAGTCGTTACTGGAAATACCTTAAAAATAAGACACAGATTTCTTGAAGCCTCTGATAAAAGCTTTTGGAAAATATATCATTTGAAAGAAAAGTCCTTCTTCTTGGCGAAGGTATCAGTCCTACCTCTTGCTGAAGCTAAATGGATAAGGATATTTCTGATCAATAATTCTGTTTCTTGATCATGGTTATTCTCCTTAAGTAAGTTTTCAAGAACATCTAGACCTTTGTCCTCAATGAAGTTATGACAGGCTGCATCTTCAAAGACAGAAATGCGATTTTATTGTCATCATATCGCTCACTCATAGCAAATATTTAATATTGTAGAAAATCAAAACATCTTTCATGTCAACAATGACATTCTTACCAAGTTCGATCAGATTTCCCAGTAGTTTGAGTGCTAGTTCTACTACATCCGGGTTATGTGACGTCGTAGTTAAACTTGTAATGGCGGCCTGTACACCCCCATTTCTTTCCACCGTTGACTTGTTTCCATAAACTACAACAGACAATGGCAGACAAACCATGAAGTTGGGTTCTGTTGAGATAGTTTGTTCGATTTATAATTAGGTGAAAAATGCTAACTAAATTTGACATGTTCTTACTTTCTGCAGATAAGTTGGTTAAGGCTATATGCGCATTCTCGTGGATTTTGTCTGAATTCTCGTGATGGAGTAGAGCTGTTATTATTGTCCTTGAGGAGTTCAGTCTCTCTAATACTGTTCGGTTAGCCTCTGTATATCAATATCATCAGTGTTATTTTACAGAAATAACAAAGGATTTGTGAATTTCTTTTCACAAGTATTGACATTGTTTTCTAATTAAAAAAAAACACATATATTTAACTTCTTTCGTCAATAACTTTAGGATCAATGCATAAACCCTAATTAGTCACAACTATTAACATTGTTGGACAACAAAGTGAAGTAAGCGCTTACTGTTGACCGCTAGTGACCCTATGATAAGGGAGCCGTGTTCCTGTATGACAGGACAGTCAATATAAGTAGTCATTCTCTCCAACAAAATCGTCACTCTGTTGTCTTGTATAAACTTTTTCTGGATATCATCTAAAAATTTACAGAAATTCAATTTGGAGCATGGTACAAATTCATCATTTTAAAACTATTTTAATGTTGCTTAGAATATTTTGTCTAAGTCACACAGTATATTTGATACATTATACGGACGGATTTCAAAAAAAAAAAAAAAAAATCAAACTGAACAAAGAACATGATCCTAAATTTTCCTATGCCATATTAATTGCTATTTATTGAATACTGCCGAAGGGTTTGTTATGTCATGCTGTACACGAATAGGTCACCTTATAAGACTAAGTTGATCACATAGTTTTTTGTAGTAATCATTAGAAGTGATACTGCCTGTTTTACCTGATAATGCTAATACAGGAACCAGAAAGATGAAGATTTCCTGCTGAAGTTGGAGGTTATCAGGGAACTGTGCCAGACACTGACACACCGTCTCTACAATGGCGGGTATGGCTAGTTCCTGGGCACCCTGAACTGCACAAAAATATAGTTTTTGTTAATGCTTCAAAGACAGCAATGCTTACTTTTAAGATAGATTTAAATGAAATAGCATCGTAAATTATCGAGTTCTGATAGATTTACCAGAAGAGGAGATGTTACAAAGTGTGCAGCAGCCATATTCCTGAAGTTTTTCATCATACTGGTATTTCTTCAGTGTATCAATTATTGTCGATATCTCATTTTTCTTACAAATATATTCTCCTGCATCAGCTAAAAGTCGATTAAAATATCAATTAAAAGTCGGTTTTGCTGACAAGATCTAAAGGCAAGACAAAATGTTGAGTTGCCTTTGGAGATACGGGATATATATTTGTCTAAACTTACTACATTTAGTAAGACAAGCCAGAGCCCATAAGGCACACTCTAAAACGGCAGTACTGTCTTGGAAATTTTTAAGCGTTTGTAAAACCACGCGAATTCCGCCAGCATTGGAGACATCTGAACTCAGGTCCTCTGTAGAATAAAAACAAGTTTTCTAAACAATTCACTTGAAAAAAAAATAAACATCGCTGTCTACTAGACTAAGTATGCCCATGCACAGATTGTCTTTGTGATTAAATTCATAGCTTACCGTGAAAAGCAAAGCTTCCCAAGGCCCTACAAGCGTTCTCGTGAACTAGATCATCATGCCGGAATCTCTCCATGATTCTCACAATCACGTGAACTCCTCCAATATACATTACATTCTTCGCTGTTTGATCTGGCAACAACAAAAATCCAGTTATGTGTATTTTCTGACTATTGTTCAGTTGAGAAGTGCAATTACTCACAAAATGATGATAATGTTCACTATTATAAAACTTACAGTCGTTGGTAAGGTTACTGAGGATGAAGCAACAGTTGCTGACAATTTTGTTGTTGTTTTCATAACGAGATAACAAGGTTACGACACTGGAAGGGACGGCATCTTCTACCAACTTCTCAAGTAATTCTTCTACAATAAAAGTATGTGGATGCAAGCTGCAGTTTTATTTTAAAAATATGTTTGTAATTCGTAAGCTTGACCATCTAGAGTGTGTTAAATTAAATGCAATGCAAGTAATCATAATTAATTTTTTTTTTTGAAATTGTTCTCTTGTTCTTTTCCTACAAATGATCAAAGAATCGTCTTCTCTGCGACACAAACATTCAGCAGCAAGTTCTCTTACCTACGGCGGACATGCTTCCTAGGATGTCGACAGCGCCCTCTATGACGTCTATATTAGAGCTCGAGTTCGTCAAGCGCAGAAGCTCTGATATCCCCTCGTTCTTTTGTATATGAACACAACTGGCATCTACTCAAAAGGAATGAATAAATAAATAAAGGTAGTTGATCTTTAATGCATTATTATAATTCTCTAAAATGCCACATTTATTGAAGTAGTATTATGTATGTATCATACCGGATGCTGCACACATGCGTGCTAGAGAAACAATGGCGGCGGTGAGTATTTCGGCATTATTCTTAAATGTCGTCAGCGCCGTCATAAGGCAGGATATTCCCTCATTTTTAGCCAACAGAACAGATAATGAGTCTGAAAAATCCCAGTGATCATTTGAATATTGCTAATTAAGGCGGTAAACTTAGATTGAATTTCAAAAGGTACAGTAGAACATATACACCTGGTATTAAACTGTTAAACTAATTCAGCTAAATGAAAAGAGATCTAATAAAAGATGACCCTAAATTTCCCTAGAATTTGTTTTCTGTATGTCAATGACCATTGAAATGAAGAAAAAAACCCCCACTATTTACACTGCTACAAGAGTCTACTACATTATATTCCAATCGCTATAATTACGCTACATCATGATGTGCTCTGAAACGTTTATAGTATACTTATGTCTTATGTTAATGATCAGTACAAAGATAAGTGCTTTTTCTCATCAATCAGAGCTCCTTTAATGTTGTCCTTTACGCTGTTTTTGATAACCTAATACATTCGTTAAAATTATGTTCACCTCTTCATTCCATTTCAAATTCTCGAGACTGTCAAGGCCATGGAAGTTTAACATTTAACATTTCTTCGTAAATAAATTATTTACATTTCCAACTACCTATATACTTGTGCTTGAATGCATTTTATTGCTTAATTTTCTAAATATAACTGCAGATACACAATTTCGATTGCCTCTTCATTACCTGTTAGATAATTTATAAATTAACGGAATAAGAATTAAAAACTGTGTTTTACATGCAACAATGCTCTTAACGTCAATATGCTCTGCTATCAGAGACGTTTTTGCATTCAAGACATGATGTTTCGACAAGGTTCATAGATATCTTACAAGCGTGATCCTTTTTGTACAAGATAGATTTCAATAGGATTTTTTTTTCATTAAAAAGACATGTAATTGTAAACAATATTTTGGTAATTAGGTGACTTTTGAGACAAACATGTTCAATAGAAAAGTCAGAAGTATGCCTTAAATTCAGAAAGAAAAACTCTCCATCTATTTTTGCGTTACTGAAATGCAATACCTTTATCCGACTTTCGTAAGTGAAACGTCAAATGAAAAAAAAGATGATAAATCGAACCTTGTTTTGTTTCCATAAATAACTTACCGTCATTTGCAAAGCTTCCCATACTTCTACAGCCCTTTAGTTGGACTTTTACGTCATCCGGGTACTTCTGCATCATTCTAATTGTCTCCCCTATCGTTTGTTGTTTGCATTTCTGGGTTTCTGCAACTGAAGAAAAATAAATAACGAAATTAAATGCCTCATAATTTGGAAATCTGAGTAAATGTTAATGCCTTATCTATTCTGATGCTTTTTGATGAAGTTAATTTTGTTAATCTCATGTCTCAGGTTCTAGGAAACCGAAAAGAAGTAATAGATTTGAAGCAGTTTGTCAATGCACTCTCAACAGAAAGTCAAGCAATGGTAAAAAGTCAATCATAGGGAGTCGCGAAGACACTGTACATGATGAGACAACTAAAAATAAATTCCGTTGATTATTTGGTGTGTTTTGATACAAATTTGGTACCACTTAAAATAGGCAGTCTAAAATACAGACATAAGAAACAAGCATTCTGAGAGTATTGCATTAGCAATACTAGTCCCCTACCGGCAAGTGTAATCTGGTTCCATTCCTGTTAAGAATTGAAAATGTCATAATTCCGTCAAAAATTAATGAAGCGGGACGAAATGCAAACTTGATCTGTAACTAATCAAGGTAAAGCCACATACCAAAAATCAGCTCAATATCTACAAGCTTTTAGAAGAAAATTGCGGAAAACCCGAAAAAATTGAAAAGGCCGTAATTCCGTCAAAAATCAATGAAGCGGAACGAAATGCAAACTTGATCTGTAACTCATCAAGGTAAAGCCACATACCAAAAATCAGCTCAATATCTACAAGCTTTTAGAAGAAAATTGCGGAAAACCCGAAAAAATTGAAAAGGCCGTAATTCCGTCAAAAATCAATGAAGCGGAACGAAATGCAAACTTGATCTGTAACTCATCAAGATACACTCACATACCAAAAATCAGCTCAATATCTGCAAGCGTTTAGGAAAAAAGTGCGGAAAACCAAGTGGGACAGACTGACAGACAGACAGACGGACAGACAGACAGACAGACAGACGGACAGACAGACAGACAGACAGACGGACGGACAGACGGACGGACAGACTCAGAGGAAACCTATAGTCCCCTCCGGTTTCACCGGTAGGGGACTAATAACCGTCTAAAGGACATGGTGTATGGTAATATGCCGCAATGTTTCTACATCAATCGCACAAACTCAAAAAGCTGTATAACAACTTCCTTATTAATTGGAAGTATGTAATGATATTGCTTAATTTTTCCTAGTATATCTGAAATTAACTTCAAAATATATTTCAACTTTCTTAGACTTTTGGATATATATATATATATATATATATATATATATATATATATATATATATATATATATATATATATATATATATATATATATATATATATATATATATATATATATATATATATATATATATATATATATATATATATATATTTGTTTATAATAAATCTTCAAAAAAGCATTCGACATTTTAGTATGCTTCCGGTCAACCAAGACTAATGCAGAACAGTAAAATAAAATGACCAAATATGAAATCATAAATAAAGTAAAATCCTATTGCTAAAATTATGCGACTGGTTCAAAACACTATCCCGTGAAAATACTCTCACAACTTACCAAAAGACGCATTATCATTCCCAAAACAACAAATTCTGCTGCCGCATTTATTGCAAAATGTCGCAAACGGTTGTATCGGATGCACAGCGTTATTTTTACGAAATATCCCATGTAAGATAGCTTTCCAACAAACCAGAGGGGTTGTCATGATTTGAGAACTGACTGTTCACTCGTCAGATCAAGGACCAAACACTCCCCACTCTACCAGAAACACAACAAGGGTCTTCACAGTGGCTGGTTTGAAGTACATTTACCATTAAAGAGTTTTTAAGACTCTTTCATATTATTTTTACACAAATGATGCATTGTCTAATTAGAGTGCCACGGTTTGGAATCAGAGATATTCATTCATTAACATATATCTAATGCAGACTGACGATGATTTTCCAACATGAATGTTACGACATACGCTTAATCCCCGTCCTCGAATCAATTTATCAAAATTGACCCTTATTTTATTGACTTGACCTTTTTGAAATAATAATCTAAATATTTTATTATACGAGAATAGGAATCAGGCGTTTTGAAGTGAAAGTCCCCAGACAAGGTATGAAGATTGTAAATGTTTATAATTTACAAAAATTGTCAGGCTATTTTAAAAGGATTCAAAGTATTTTGTCTAAAAATTGAAATGGAAAGTTAATATATGTGTGTATAAGAGATTACCTCCTGAAAAAACCAAAGACTATCCAGAAGTAACTATTACGGACTAAAATGTTAATTTAATGTGAATCATCAATAGGTTTTAGATTCACAAACACCAATACCATCATATGTATTCCTATATTACGAGAACATTTAACAGTATCAAAGTTATTTGGTTGCTCCACTGGGCAGGCTTAAGAACTATAGCTCTTAGACAAAAAATTCGATTACCGGTAAGATAAAAAATTCGACAACTCCACAATTACTGTGTTTAATAAAGATATTAATTCCACAATTGCTGTGTTTCATAAAGATATTAATTTCTGTCCAAAAGATATGCTCAATGCATTCTTATGTAAGAGAACTTAAGTTTTGTTTTGTGAAAACCTTCTTTTGTTAAGAAACTCGTTAGAGAATTGGAAATATTTTGTCCACTTCGTAAGAAATGTTACGTAAAGGTTTACTGGGCTCTTTAAATTACGATAGGAACTATATTTCATGCCCATGCAAATTGCATGACGGGTCATTTGCCTGAAATTGTGAATAAAGATCAACATTTAAATTACTGCATGGTTTCGAAGTTGATCGTGTAAAAAAAAATTGTCTTTGTCATTATTATTTTACAATTTATAATTACTTATTTTATTGTTACCATATGCATTTTATTTATTAATTTTATTTCTTTAGTAAATTATTCCACGTTTTATTGTCACTGGCAAGAAATTAACATAAATGAGATGTCATTTGAAATTTAGATATAAGTACATTTTGTGTTTCTAAGAAAGTAATGACAGTTTATACAATGTTCAATCATATTACAAAAGTACTTTTGGGCGAGGTCTTTCATCATTATACAAGAAAAAAAAAGGTTTTGTTTTCTTAAACACCCAATTCTTCCCAATCAAGCTCACTATAAAATTTAGCTCTTGATAAGTTACACCCTACATTTGGTCAACAGCTCAATTCGATTTATAATGATAATAAAAATGGTTCTCTTTTTGTGTGCATGGATACTCTATTTCAGTATACTTTTTGCACATTAGATAATGACTCGTATTTATTTTTTACAAAAAATTCTTGAGCGCATCTTGTGAACTGACAGGGCTTATTAATAGCATGATCGTTGTATTTTACCTTAAAATCAATTCTAACACATTTGAGCAGATATATAAAAAATATTACTCAAGTTCTTTTAATAATCAAATGTGAACATACAGGTAAGAATTTTTAACACTGCCATTAAAATTCTTGAGCGCATCTTGTGAACTGACAGGGCTTATTAATAGCATGATCGTTGTATTTTACCTTAAAATTAATTCTAACACATTTCAGCAGATATATAAAAATATTACTCAAGTTCTTTTAATAATCAAATGTGAACATACAGGTAAGAATTTTTAACATTGCTATTAAAATTATAAGATTTACTTACCATACGATGATATCATAGAATGGTTTGGAAATTTCTTTAACGAATGAATTACATAATTTATTATATGGAGACACTTACCAAGTGGTGGCATCGCGGCAGTCCTGTCCCCTACAAAGACAGTAATACATAACCATCAGTCCGTTATGGCTTTATACACTTCATTAAAGCAAAACAATCAAATATTGAAGCAGCGGAAACACCCCCACAAATTAATACTTGGCGTGTATTTTTACTCTTTACCCTCCCAGCTTAGATCTATGGTAATCAGCAAACAACCACAAACATACCTTGTTATAGAATAAATTGATCGGGATCGAACTACAGAGGCGGACGTAAATTGATGATTTCTTTCTGTAAGTCGATCAGAGGATTCACATCGTGTGTTTATTTTGATTTAAAGAGTCCCTTTTTATATAAAGCTACGCCCAGACAGTGATCAATGTTTGGACAATGACAGCAGAGGATTAAGGGATATATTTCTGGACCCGATGTCCTTATTTGAATAGTTGCGGTTTAAAGGGGAGATTGCTTCGGAAGTTATTAGTGTTGCTAGGAAATGCAGTCTCGTAATTGACCTTTTCTAAATTTGGCTGACCCACGTAATCAAAATAAGAGATTTGTTGTTTAAAAAGTAACTTTTTGTTGAATTAATGTCTATTTAATTTGGTTTTTCCCTTTTAGATAAAACATAAATGAGCGAAAGTACAATAATTTCACGTTTTCACGATGCATGGCTTAAAATAGATAATGTTTTATCTCAATCTCTTCACTGGCTATCTTTATTTAAATAACTCGCTTTTCTTTAGAGAAATACGGACCAGCTGAACTTCTGTCATGTTTAGTTATTGAATCATAGAATTTAATCATATTGCTTGTTTCGTAAAGCAAAAATTGGACCAAGTTCCCCTCTCCGATTTCTCATTCTTTGTCTTTTACTTTGATAATAAATGTATATACATGCTTTGTAGTCATGTTTTGGACTTAAATTCAGCTACATTTTCTGAAAATAATATGCTTATTGCTCTCTTTCACTTTCTTATTGCATGTTGTATGTTGCTAAGTACATGTTCCTTTGGGTAATGTGATTATTACCTACAGCTATCCAGAGGGTTCCTAGTAGATTCTTTTTAACCGAATGTCACACCTACCAATTACCTAACGTCAATTCTCTTAAACAAACTAACCGTCAGGTATTTGATACCTACTGTATATTGGTAATTATTTCTAATTATTAGATGCGCACTGCTACTTAGGAAGCCATACTTTTAAGAAATTAATGTTATTGCTGAAATCCTCTGTTCTTTTATTTACATGTATGTGAAGAAACTTTTTGCCTAAACATTTTTTTTGCTTACATCAGAATACTTCTATTTTTTTCAAATTTAGTTTTATATGAGTCAATTCATATTCAAAAACTTATACATGAGAAGAAAACACTTGCTGTGGCCTTCAACTCAACATTTAGATATATCGACGACGTATTATCAATTAACAATAGTTGCTTCCATTCACATATCCCAGTGAACTTGAAATAAAAGATACCACAGAGTCTGACACATCTGTTTCATATTTGTATATTTTACTAGAAAAAGATGTTAATTAGTAATCTAACAACAAAACTTGATGATAAACGTGATGAATTCAACTTTTCTATCGTCAGCTTCCATTGCTTATGAAGCAATATACCCCTATCACCTGCATATGAGGTTTATGTCTCCCAGATGATACGCAAGAGCACTGCGAACAATTTCTAAAAGGAGGCAAACTATTGAGAAACAAGTTGATGGAACTAGAATATCAACAGTCTGATTTGAAGTCAATATTTCGCAAGTCCTATGATCGATACAACAACCTTGTCAAAAATCAAAGACAATCTATCATTAAGTCGAATGCTGACTGACGGTTTTCATACTAATTTTTAGGCCATTATTTACTCATTGAATGTCTACGGATTTTTCCGTTTTCCCGATCATGACAAAGAGCACACAGTGGAATGACCGGTCGACAGAGGATGCCTACTCCTCCATCGCACCTGATCCCACTTCTGATGTTTTTGGAGATATCCGTGTTTGCTCTGCTCCCGATTGGTATTGTTTCAGTGGACTTTTGAACTTGATTACTGTTCATTATCTCAAAATTTGATTGATAATGAAGTATCAAGAAATCCTTAAGCTTTAGTATGAACACATTTTGACTCATATCTGAATGTCTGGTGTTGTAATCAGAATATTATTTATCTATTTCTAGTAGGTTTTATTGAAGACAGTTTCCAAATTGCAATAGGCATTCACGTATCTGATGACAATGAAAACGAAAGTGAATAAGTTGCATTAGAGGTTAGCAATAAGTAACTGGCAATCAGAAAAATACAAAAGGCAAAAACCATTCAACAATTGCAATCAGAAATGTACAAATCTTTATTCGCAGTTGACAATAAGCAATGTGCTATAGGAAGCGATCAATCAGCAACCCACCGTTTGCAGTTATAAACCTGACACTTAACGAAATAGCAGTACACAAATCAGAAGAAGACAATTAGCGATAAGTATACTCATGTTTGCCTCACTATAAGTAAATGAAATATTGCTTTTTAGTGCACGGCATTTTCATGAAAATTTACAGGCTGAAACATAGCAAACAAAGAAGTTCGTCAATCGAGTAATGTGCGCGCAAATGGTTATATTTGCAGGATGTTGGAATGGAAACAACTTTCATCGATGTTTATCTTATATCACAACAAAGCAGCATTGAAAAGCAGTATTCAACATATCAGTTGACAATCTGGATTTCGAGCTATATGGCTCGTTTCGACGAAATGGATGATTTACCTTTTGAGTCAAGCTTTAAAAACTATCCAGATAGTGAGCATGCTAACAGTTTATTTATCTTTATAAGATGTACCGTTACTTCAGTCATTTTAAGGAAAGTATTTGATTATATCACGTGAACGTTATTTTAAAGTAAATTATTTTCTTGTCGAATGTAAGTCGAATTTTTTACCACTAATCTATGAAGAAGTAAATTATGTTCCGTGTTTAGCCTCGTGCAGTGATATACTGGAAAGATCAAAGGAATTTTGGATTAAACTCTCTCTCTCTCTCTCTCTCTCTGTAAATTTTTTTTATATTTCTGTATTTAGAATTCGTCATATCATGCATTTTGAACTGCAGTAGTTAATCTTCTGTATTTGTTTGTGCGCATCGTGTGCAACCAACAATGATTATCCCCATGCACCGTTGCTTCTGACTCATGAATGAGTTATAGATATATATAAAGAATTTCAAATAAGTTATTTGAAATCCCGCAACATGTTGTCACACATCAATCTTACTTTATCTTGCTTGTCAACCATCTTATTAAATAAGATGTAAACATGCACATTTAATTGTATGTCGCCGCAGTAAACTGCTTATTATATGCCGTTTTCTGTTCCATGTTGTAGTGAATACAGTTTATTTTGTACCCAAAAGTACATTTTTTCATCTACATGTATTGGTTTTTAATAAATCTTATCAAAACCCTAGTAATACTGTCATTGAAATCTTCTTATTGATTTATATAAATCACAGTGTATAGGTGCACTTTTGAAACTGTTCGTTATTTGTTTTTTAGGTGGAAATCGGCACGGGCTCAGTTGATGTGATACTAGACAGGTATTCAGTAGAACAGGTAACCATTGAAGCAGGTAACTTCGGGAACTGTCATGATAAATTAGGTCATCGGGGACACCGGCTACAGGTATCAGAAGATGGTCCCCTTATCACAGCATTAGTCATCTATCTTTTTAGGCAGGGTTAATCGAGATCAAGAAAATTTACAAAAAAATTGTAAGATTTCTGTCTGCGAGAGTGTCATTCCTGAATCACTCTGAGCATCTTATGCAAAATCTCTCCATTTGTCTTTTCTTTGAAGTCATATTTGGAGACATGTTCTCTACCTGACAAGTTAATCTTGCTTGATAACTTAACCGACAAACATTTATTGGTACTCACCTTGATCCGGTGGAGGCGCTGCCTGATTCTCTGTACACTCGTACACCAGGTAACTCTGTCCGGCCAAAGTCCGGGTCGTGGAGGCTCCAGCTCTCAGACCGGAATCACAGACAGCCTTCCTGATAGCGTCAATGTTGATACAGACATAACTCCGGTCATCTGACTCAAGCTTCTGCACAGGAAGTACGACACTGACGAAGCCATTTTCTTTAAGGATATCAGGAACGTGTTCGATACCCTCATCGGATTCATCTGCCGACCTTTTGTGTATGCTATAGCGGCTGTTCCGTCGCTTGTGGGGTGCCGTGAACGATGATGTGCGCCGAGAAACATTTCTATCACTTTCATGAAAGTCTTTGGCTACTACAGAATCTCGTCTGCTCGCCTTTTGGAATACGTATGATGAGCTTTTTCTGAGTTTTTCGTTGTTGTTTAGAATCTCGATAGGTAAGGACGGCATGACTTGGTCTTCTGAAATATTTGGAAGGTTACGCTCTTGATCGATCTTTTCTCTTTCTAATTTGCATGATTTATAAATAAAATTCCTATTTCTTTTCGGTGGGCTGTTTTCATACGTCAGTTCTGTGGAGCTTGACGGCCCGTGTAGGATCACCTGTCCCTCCTTTTGGTTGCTATCCTCGGTGGCTTCACACTTTAGACCAAGATGTGAACAAGTGTCGGGAATGCGCAGCTTCCGGCACGTAATGACGGTGTTTCTTTTGTTATGTCTTTCCTCAGGTCGGGTATCATTTTCACCCAACTTCAAATTATCACCATTCAATGAGAGTAAACTGTGTTTCTTCGAGTTTAGATCGTCTAAACGATTCGATAATTGTTTGCTTTGTGCTACATATTTCATAACATGTACCAAAGGCACATTAATGTCCATTTTTCGTCCGTTTGAGTTCATTTTGTTATGCAGGAATGATATCTAAGGTCTCATCTGAACTTGAGTTCAAATCTATAACTGTCTTTTATTATCTGAAATATAAATATTACACACACATTTGGGGAATTTTAGGAGGATTTTATGTCAAGTCTCTAATTGTGATTAGAAAGTGCGTCAGCAGGCCAGACTTATTTGGTCATTAAACAGATTTTATGAGATAACATTGAGTAAAATATCAAACAACAAATTACACAGTTCACAGCCTCGTCAAGATTGTAAGTCAAAGTTTTAATGGTGTGGCTAGCAATACATGTAGTTTATGATAAAGATAAATGGTACATTCTTCGCTGATTAAGTGCTGGCTGTTGATCAATTAATCCACTAGTACGATGACAAAAGACCTTAACATTACGCACTTGGAATACCTGAAATACTTTATCGGTTTCTTTACCTAAATTCACATCATACTTACACTTTCTTTCATTCCTTAAAACTTTAAACAGACTTAAAACAGATGTATTTAATATTAAAACGCGAAAAAGAAATAAAACTCAGAAAGGAAATATTTTTAATGTTTTAACTTTCATATCAAGTCATATATATATATATATATATATATATATATATATAAAATTTCATATATAATTTCGTATTAAAATTCATTGCACCAATTTAAATAAAAATAAAAGCATACTAGAATACTCACACAATTGGGGACTGTGAAAACAAGCTTTAATTTGATCGTTGTTGTTATCTTTTAAGACCCAGGATTAAGACTACGAGTGTGTGATAAGGATAACAAGGGGGGAACATCGTATCCGTCCCCGGGAGATTCTCTGTCTTCTCTGATAACTCTCGGGTCAACGATCACCAGGATAGAAACACACGCATCACTCTCTATAATAAGACATTTCCGGTTGTCGTAACACGTCTAAGAAGTTAGATTTATTTGGTTTTTGTAATCAAAGGACAAATCAAATGTAAGAATGATAAAGTTGTGTCCCGTTTCATATCAGGCAATCTTGAACTTGATAACTGAAATGTTATGTGAAATATGATTTTGCTTACGAGTGCTTCAGTGTCTCGAAACATTTTTTTCTGGGAAAATATGGCAGGTACCTTATGATGAAAAATAAATTGCATAAACTCATTCAATGTAAGAAATACTTTACTTATTGCAAAATGTGTCATTAATGCATGTAGTTCATGTTTATTCTATCTAACATCTAAGGGCAGATCACTTTACTGCATAAAACCCGCCTATAATGAGAACTCTTTAATGGGCAGTCCTAAGAGCTTCCTTAAACCATGTGTAATTTAATCTTATTCTACCATGTTTTCAAAAGGTTAAAGAGTTATCAGGGCATTTTTTTATGCAAAGCCACAATATTTTGAAAATTAAAGACAATATGTAATATTTCATTGCATAATTCACTGGCACTTAATGGTTTCTGTAAAAAAAAATTTAACCCTAATGCTATAATGAAAAACTCGTTTCACACCATGATATATGCTATAGTTTTGGACAGAATGAATAAAAATAATCTGTTGAAAACTCAAATTTAAGTATTCCAATATTCTAGTTGTTAGATTTAATGCTTCTATACAAAAATATCATGAAAATAAAGCTTTGTCGCCATAGATAACTACACTTTTTTTTCAGATAATTTTAGAAACAGGCTTTGGTCAATTTTAAACAGATATTCTGTCTGGAACTAGTACATAGCATATCGTGATATGAAACGGGTTTTCAGACGACAAGCAATGTTTTGTCACGTACTGTTTGTGCAGCAAAAAGAGTAAGTCTTTAAAGACAAGGGTGTCATACATGGTTTTGTAGATAAATTATGGTAGGAGGAATTAATAGTAAACAGTCACTTTTTACCTCTGCATTTTCTTCCGAAAGCGAAAACGACTTCAATGCTCAGGAGGGGTTACTCCATTGAATTTGGAGTTAGATACCTTGTGTAATTATTATACCATGAGGTTAAACTTTTATTACAGACGCAAGTGCCTTTGGTATACATCTATTTTTCAAATTGTTTTTTATCGTGCGTATTAATTTGAAACAGGATATTTTGTATCCTGTATTTGTGTATATTTTTATGTAAAATGTATTACCATGCACAAAACTTTTGTATAAATACCTTATTCTGTAATTATATGTTTTGTAATCTGATACACCAAACTGAAGGAAAATTTGCATTTGTTTGTGCATGATCTTAACAGTGACCCAGGTCCGCATGAGAGACAGTAAATATTGCAAGTATAAATCTGAATGTCCTTGACCTGAGATCAAACTGATGATCAGGGATGCAGACAATGAAAAAGTTTTCAAGCCAGGAATTTACTTGTATAAAATAAGTAAAAGCACGCCTCATAGACATTGAAAATTACACCACATGAACTTTTTAACAAATTAAAGTTTTCTATATTTAGATTTGTCTTTGGCTTAAAATCAGACTGATGGACATGGGTGCTGAAACTGAAAGTTTTTAAATTAGGAAGCTACTTTAAAAATATTAGCCATGCTTCATAAACTGTTATTGGGGTTAAAAAAGAACTAACACCTGCTGTCCTATAGGAAGCTGTCAACACTGGCGACGGCACAGAGGCTAGCACGGTATCCCTCATTTTAATAATAAACGTGCACATTATGTTGACCAACTATAGCCACTGCATAATAAATCATTTTTAGCAAAAATTAGGTTAATTGCACATGGTTTAGAAATTAAAAAAGGTAGATATGTGGAAATTAATAAAAAATGATAGGTTGTGTAAAGTTTGTCAAAACCTTGATATTGAGGATGAAAAACATTTCATTGTGCTCTGTCCAAATTATGAAGCACAGAGAAAAATTATCCACTTTCCCTAATTTCAACCAAACAATCCATAATAATGACAATTTGTTAAAACCATTGATGAAAACCAGGTGTAAAAGGGTTCTTAAAATATTATCTTCATTTTTATGTCAAATATCTGATATTAGAAAAAAAATATTTTAGCTATAAATGAGTAGCTACTTTGTTATGAATTATTTAGTATCTGATGAGTACACTAAATTATTTGCTACACTAATTGTTTGTATTCTAGTTGTGTTCTACTGTATTATCATGCTGTAATTTTGTTTGTGCCAATAAAATATTTGTATTTGTATTCGTCTTGGCGAGCAAAAATACATTGATTACAAACGTGCCTTTAATTACTTATAGCAGGGGCGTAGGTTGACTTTAAATTCTAGTGAAGCAAAACAATATTGGCAAAGGGTCTGAAGGCCGTCTTAGCCCCCCCCCCCCCTGCAGGTCCAGAATTGAGCCCTAATAGGGGGTTATAAAATGGATTTGGGGGTTTTATAATGCAATTCATGCTTGTTCTGCACAGAAATTTCGTCAATTTTGAAGACAACAGCAGTGCATGCATATTATACTACTTATTGTGAAAGTATTTAAAAGAGTTAATAAATATGTTTATAATTATAAATAAGAATAAAGATAGAATGAATCTTTGTCCCTGTTTCTTTTGATCTATGATTTTAAACTTTAATATTTTCCCACATTACCTATTTTGAGTTTTTATTGGAGCCTGAGCCAATCTCTTTAACTGATTTATTTATATGAACGTAAAACATTATAGACTTGCTTAAATGTTAAATGAAATGCCAATGTTAGTTTTAAATACAAAATATTTTTTCTGCAATTTATTGTTGTTTATGGGAGGTGTCAGAGCTCTGGGAGGGGGCGGTGGTGACTAAAAAAATCCAGTGAGGCAGTTACCTCATTGCCACAATGAAAGCTACGCCCCTGTATAGGCAAAGAAGTACTGGTCTCAAAACTGCAACACTCCATAATTCATGAGAAAAGGGGAAAATAGTTAATTAGAATGCTGTTTTGAAACTTAGTCAGCTCGAGTTCAGCAATATATCATTAAAATGTATACAGCTTTATAACTGAGCAAACACTCTCTGAGCATGAGGACATTCTAAAGTGTATTTTTATACTTATATGATTGAAAAAAAAATACACGAAAGGGTGATCGGTTTCGGCCGACAGGCTTTCCGGAAGACACTTGAACATCCGTCAAGTGTTTCTTATTAGTTGGCGGAAGGCATTTCCTGTTTGAGGTTACACCAACCATTCTGCATTCAATGACAAAAGTTTTGACAAAATGAACCAAAATATCTGCGTTCACTGTTTGCGGAGAACTTTTAGCACAACAGCTAGTATCTTCAGAAAACCACCAATATGGCCTGCTAAGCGGAGCAGACTACCGTTTGACGAACGTTACCCCGTATCCGCGAAACACGTGAATGAGAAAAGGCGTGGTGGGAGCAGGGAACTGGCGGAGAAGGTGGCTCTCCATCGTAAGTTTTTATCTCAATCTTCACTTTTTACAGCAGTTATTGTATAATATTATTTAAGACTTATATCTTTTTTTTTTTTTTATTAAAATACCATTGCATTGTCAGATGGTTTTGTTTTTGTAACGAGTAGTAAGAGTTATCTTTCTTTATGCTGCTTGGAGTTTGTAAACATTGCAAAGATTTATTGATCTTTTTATTCGGTGTCATTATGAAATGTAATCAAAATTTGCTTCTTAGTAAGCCAAATCTGATATCCTAGTACCAAAATTATTCCATTCATTATTTATACAATAAAATGATCTCTGATCAGTGGAAGTACCTTGCCTACAGCACTTTTATCTACCTCCATAGTATAACAATGGTTTTACTTTGAAGATGGAACCTATTACCCCCCCCCCCCCCCCCCCCTAAAATTTTCGAGTTTGGACAATTAATTTTTTTGCTTGTCGAAGTTTTTTTTAAGGGAAGTTGTATTAACCCCCCCTCCTCCCCCACTTTGATGCTATGTTCCTGAAAATTTTATTACAGAAACAAGTGACTGTGATGTAGCAATCTTAGTTTTGTTGACATTGAGTATATGGTGCATTAGGCTATGACACCGAATCCACTGAGCATTAACTGACTGGTGAGGATAGAGCCTGGCATGTATACCTATGAGTGTGCACATATCACGAGTGACTGATTCAATGGAACATAGGGATATACTTTTTCATTTGATAATAAAAATTTAGCACTTCTTACATCTTGCATACCTGCATGTCAGATATTGTCTACCTAAAAGTTAAATTAAACATATTTAAATCTCAAACTTCAGGATAAAGAGTGCACAATTTTTAGTGGTACATGTACATATAGTATACTAGGTGTACGAATCAGAACCCTAGGTATTGTCTGAATTGGGTTGTAATGCTTCAGCAAGGGACATATTTTGAACAAACCTCTTTTATATCAACATAGATTGATTTTCTTGGAAAAAACTATGCTGTTATTTCAGACTTACTATAGGGACTGGTAATTGTGTAATGATCAAAAATCAAAATGCACAACCCAGAACAAAAGCAGGGCTGTCCCTAAGAATTAAAATAGCAGGGGGCATTTAAAAAGTAGAAGGGGTTCTGGAGTTCTTCCATTTACAGGATGATGATGGAGAATACCAGAGTAACCAGGGGATTATGAAATTATAGGCGGGGAAATTCCTTGGCTTCCGAGTCTTAGGGAAATCCCTACATATATATAAATATCATTGATTCCAAAATTTATGAATACTATATTTAGATATGCATGAAGATGTGTGTTTGTAATTTTTTTCCAGATGTTCAACCCACTGGATTCGTCCACATGAAATACAAAAGGTTTTTCAGAGTTAAGGAAATGACACCAGAATTAATTGTCCCAGATCTGAAAGACTGCAAGGTAAGAATAGCATTTCTATGTTTTTCATCAGTCATGTGCATTTTCCCTGAGGACAGCATATAAAATCATTCATTTCAGAGCTATAAGTATGCATTAATTGTAAAGCTTACAACGAAACTAAAAACCATAAAAATATTCCTATTGATTCCTGGTTTAGTTTGGAATCGAGAAATTTTTTCTACATATTTGTGTAAATTCTGTGTGTTTGTGTGTATGTTGGGGGGATGTTACATTACAGAGTGACACATTAGAAGCCAATATTTGACTGAAAGATTGGTTTAATTGGAACATAGAGTTAAAAGATAAAAGGCCATTTTAAAAGTAACCCCTTCCCTTCAAAAACACAAACACAGGACTACTGGAATTTCATAATCACCAAAGGATCAGGATCAACATAGGTCAAAGTTCAAGATTACTAGTAACAAATGCAATAAATATTTTTTCATGCTTTCCTTAAACTTTTGATCTTAACTTTACTAATGTTCAAGATCACTAAGGTAGAGAATGCCATTAGAAAGAATTGTCAGATTTTAGATTGCTGAACATCTAAAAGGTTCATCTTGGGGAGAATCCTTTGCTGTATCACAAAGTTCAGGGGCCCCTTATACAAAAGAACTTACTACTAAGACCAAAATTTAAATCTGCTCATAACATTCTATTTTACATTGATTTGAAAATTGTTTTAATCCTTTTAAAAAGAATTTAACAAGATATTTTTAAGCTAGCAATTTAAAACAGAATAATTAATTTTACAAAATTATACAATCAACTAAAGTTTTTGGTCTTAGTCATAAGTTCTTTGTAAAACGGGCCCCGAGTCACAGAGTTAGACATGTTAGATTTGAAAACCCTTGATCAGTTTCTAATCATGGAATGGATAATCTGTTGTGTATATCTCCAAGGCCAAGAAGCATGAAAGAAAATTAAAATTTTCCATATCCTCCAACTTGACCTTGATTTAAAGGTTAAAGATCAGGGTTCTGTAATCTGTGCTTCGCTGACTAATGGTTTTACAGTTTGACAGTGGGATGAAGAAAATATTCTAAGGGGGCTGTGACTCTAAAATGTTTCATCTCCGTATCAAGGTTTCAAATTTCTATTGAGATCCGTAGATACAAGCACTAGTAAAAGTTTTGGTTTACCGTTCAGAGAAGTATAAATACATGTAAGAGTGATTATCCTGCAAGAACTGAGGTCAAAAGTGGTTCACATCAAATGTAAGAAGTTCATTAACTCGGACCGTATACCTTTTCAATAAGTCTTTTATCTCAATTTTTTGAGCGGATAAAGAGAAAAGAAGAATAATTATAAACAGAAATTCCAAGCGTCTTTTCATAGAAAAAGTGTTGTTGCATCAGATATTCTGAATGGCAAATATTTATTCTGCTATCTTTGTTTTCCCAGAACATGTAGTAGCGGACTGGAATGCATTAAGATGGCATAAAAAAATCGTAACTGTAGATTGCAGAAATATATGAAAAAATTAATTTTAATTTCTAAAAGAGATCTGAAATAAAATTAAACATGAAATAAGACGTCAATTCAGTGAGAGACATACAGGGATATCTTAACTTCCATAGGGATTATATATTAAGGGAACTGGTAAATCTACTCGGACTGTTGGTCTTTTGTGCAGGTGATGAACATCCAAGATAAACAAGGATTAAATTCCCAATACATTTAGGAACACCTGGTCTCTTCTGTTTTATAATGTCATATAAAACATGATCCCCGCGCGGAGTATTTACTTTTGTACTTAATCATGTTTTATTATTTTGGTTACCTAGGTAATTAGCAGCTACAGATCCTTATTGTTGTAAAGGCTACCTTAAGTCAATGACTGTTGTGTCGTCTTAAAGTGATGATTTGTTTGATATTAACAGCTGAAGCCATATGTGCCGTACAACATAAACCCCATCCAACAAAGCGAGTTTACGGCCCAGGATCTCTTCAATTCCTGTTATGCCAAAGACATCAACGAGAAATTTGATAACGGGGAATATGTGATAGAAAACGACGAAATTGTCAAAAAGCCCACATCATCGTGATCATTAAATGTTGATGGCGGCCGTATGTCCCTGTCATTGTGATTGGTGTGTGTGTGTCCCCTGATACAGTAACTGTATAACGGGTGTCTTGATATTCATCAGGTATACTGTGACGTCATCACCTTGACACACGGGAATCAAGTCACATCCCTCGGTCCTTATCTGATGTCCGTGGCTTGTTTAAGTACATAGGCTAATAATCTGTGTCATATATAGGAATAAATGATGTTTAAATAAAAGTGACTGATTTTTATCAAAGTATGATATTGTTGCTCAAATAACGAATTGATGTTAATCAACTTTTTAAAAAAAAAAAAAAATCGTTTGATTATTTGGTTATATTGTATTTCTGTATCACCGAACACTCGACATTTCTAATTTCGGAGTGTTTAGGAAAGAATAAATTATTCAGTGGAAAATGTCTTGGATGTAGGTGTGAGTTTAAAATTTTGAAGTGGAACCGTCATTTTGTAGCATGTAACGCATTATACCTGTATCACGTGGACAGAGACAACAGAGATAAGGATTCGTTACCTGATTCTTAACTTTTTTTATTACAGTTTATCAGAAATATATTTCAGACACATATCTTTTTTCCCCTTGAAAATGCTGAAACGGTCATTTCGCCATTACATGTACTTTTGCTTGTTGGATAGATTACATTAGCGATAAAGGACGCCAGTTATTGACAGATTTGTACACCGAATAGCCATGTCCATCGATACGGCTCCCTTACAGGAATTTATTAGCGTAAAATTTGATATTTATAGCTTGATTAAATTACAAAATACAAAAGTACATTTGATCTAAAATCCAACTAAACCACAGAATAAAAAATGAAAACGGATGACTCTGTCATGTTACCCGTGAGCTGGTTTAGTAAAGAACCATATCCTCTTTTGCTTTAAATGAAGTGAATCCAAAATATTTTACAAGCAATAGCAAGAACAACATATACATGGTTAAATTAGGTAGAAAATTTGTACAAAAGTAATGCCATGGTGTCATGAATCAAAATAGAAGCAACGATACATTAGTGTCACTGTCCGGAATTTGACATAAACCCCGAGTGGTTTTTAGATCACCCAATCAATATTAATAGGAGGTGGGGCTATCGATAAGCTTCATCTCTCTCTCTCTCTTTTTCTTTCTCTCGAAATTCTTATATATGTATGGTATGAGTATACGACCATTACAGCGATATCAATATGAAATTAAAAAAAATCTCTAGAGTAAATATTGTGATGACAAATAAGATTATAAAAAAACAGATTTAATTTCCTCAATTCTGCAAAAGGCAGGACCAATCAAACACGCTCTCAAATCTAAATTAGATGGAGGTCACGTTTAAGAATGATTGCATTCACTATTACACTTGCAGCCAGGTGAAATTAACTAAGGTTAACACAGTCATAACAATGGAAGCAAAAAGTTTGTTTTGAACAATTTTTTTTCTTGTAAAAGTAAGTGTGAGCGCTCATCTTTTAATATGACATTATTTTGTTCAATATACAACTACAGTTTCTGTAACAACAGCCGATAAACATGCGCTGACTATGTATTGAGACCTTGAAAAGGATGCATGACCCTAATTATCTATTGATAGTCAAGAAAACCTTCGATTCTCTTGCATTAGATTTTTATTTGGATTTCTTTGAAAAAAAACAAACATATATGATAGAGATTACACAGTTAAGATATCGGTGGTATGAAAAAAAAAATTAAAAAGTTAAAGAAAACCTCAATTTATTTTTTTTTTTTTAGGACTCGTTCTTTTCAGGCTAGTGAGCTACAGTTCTGCAGCTACACAGCTTCTCTTCTTGTTTCTAGAGACACTACTAGTGAAACAGTGCTTACAAATACTATCATGTCGACTTTCTACTCATTTAAGTTGATTTCTTTACTCCTAACAGTCTCCAAAAAACTTACATATTCTTAAAGACAACTTTTCATAATTAACCTTATTTTGGTATTCTGAAAAAAAGGAGCCAAAATTAGGCACCAGACACAAATGATTAGAATTTCTTTTAACAATTTCTCTTATTGATGGAACATTGTAGGGATAGGGTAGGGATATAAGAAAATGATTACTCTTTTAAGAGCATCAATTGAACTGTTATATTTGGAATAATATAATTAGATATATATGAACTATGTTTTACTCACTGCTGTAAGGACTAATAGATATTGTCTTCCTAAGTGTAATAAAAGGTGTACATTATACTTATTTTTCCCCCAAACAAAGATGATTGTGAGGAAACAGAGAGCAGAGATGTATACCAGTCCGTACAAGCCCTACATTCGTCAAAAGTACAGATATAAAGCATATTATGCATATCGCTTGTTGAATCAGTGATACTTAGCATTTATATTTTTTATGACCTACGGGCTAAAATCATTGAGGTCATTTCCTCAAATATATAAAATTCTTCTAACGGCCATATTTTGAAGTCGACTTTGGTGGGGAATGTTTAATGATGGACCGGCACGCTGTGTTATCTTTTGAAAACTGTATATAAAGGTGGTATAATTGACTTTCGAAATTACATGGAATAATGAATTCTAAACATTTTGTTTTTAAATGAGATTGAATTGATTAAAAACTCTATTTTGTCATTTGATTCTTCAATGGTTCTTTGCGCAAGCTCATTGGGTACGAAATCCTTTTGCAATGCAAACCTTTAGTTCATGAATGGCATCAAAGGACGCCATTGACGCAAATGAAGTAGAATGTCTTAAAGGCGATATTATAATTATCAAATGGAATTGCAACATGTGGAAAGTAAGCAGTTAAAATGAGTTATCGTAAAGTTCTAATTACAAAGAGACATTTACTCACAAATAAAAAGATACTCATGTTGCTTTAATCAGGAAATTCAGACGGTAGAGAGACATTCTTTGTATGAGTTATCTAAATTTTAGTAATAAAATGACAATTATTTTTATTGTAAAGATGTAAAAATCAGCTATCTTTACATTCTGGTTATAAGAAAGACGTAATTTTATATCTTTGCTATAGCGACAATTAAGAATCATCAACTTGTTATCATAATGTCTCGTTACGTGTGTAATTATGTGCCGTAATTCGGACTTTTTTGTTGTCGTTATACTCTTTTGATGTTCAGAAATTACACGGAAAATGGAAAATGACTTTTAAAATAAAATAAGATTCAATCTTTTGTAAATTAAAACCAGGAATCTGAATACAAGAGAATCAAGAGGCCCATGGGCCGCAACTCTCAGCTGGGTTACTTAGGTCCTGCTGTTCTTTATCAGCAGATTTTTTAAGGTTTTGCCAAAGGTCAAGATGTCCAAAGATTTATTTTTACAATAGCTCCAAAAATATTTGAGGTATAAGGTTAAAACTTTTACAGTTTATAAATATATCATTGATTAACAGATAGAAAGTATCACTTGAAAACAAATATTTAAAAAATATTTTTGAGAAAGAAGATTTCAAAAAAAAAAAATGCATATTTAAAAAATGCGCCTGCTTAATTCCTTACTTTTAGTGAAAACCATCATTGCAGAAATAATATATGTTTATCAATGAAGGGCAAGTTGGACATGAATGGTCTCTGAAAGGCTGTTATTGAAAGCATGACATTTATAAAGACAAGACCCCTATAAAATCCGCCATTTGCAATGTACTTTCGGTTTCAAATCTTAACATTTGGACAAAATAAACAGGGAATACAACTTTCCAGAGGCTATCGTAGTCCAACTTGCCCTACATTGATAGACATATATTGTTTCTGCAATGATGGCTTTCACTAAAAGTAAGGAATTAATTAGGTGTATTTTTTAAAAATATATGCATTTTTTAAAAATAATTTTTCTCGACAAATATTTTTTTAAGTATTTGTTATCAAGTGATACTTTCTATCTGTTAATCAATGATATATTTATAAACTGTAAAAGTTTTAAGTTTATAAACCACATAGTATTAGAGCTATTGTAAAAATAAATTTTTGGACATGTTGACCTTTGGCAAAACCTTGAATAAAAATTTCCGTTTTTTAATTTCGTAAAAATTTTGACTCCATATTGCGAACCAAAATCTAGCCGTCAGGAAGCTATGCCTTAATCAAAGTTGAATCCAAACAAAACTGGGATGCTTCAATTTCAATACGATCAAAATGGCCCTGTTGTTCTGGAGAAGATTATTTTTCCTGTACACATGCACTGTGCAAATGCTGGATCTCTGACTTCGGCCTAACCATAAACCATGGGATCTTAATTAAAAAATACTGATTCCAAACAAATAAAATATGTTTTGCTTATTAATATGGTTTAGAGTGGTCTTGCCACTCTTGAAAAGATTTCGTCTGATAAACTGATCCCTTGTAAAATTCTGATCCCCAGTTGTAGCCTCAACCTATTCCCGAGGGCAATGATCTGATATATTCCTAAGAAAAACTTTGATCTCCCATTGTAGACTTACTCTTCCGCCGGGGCTCACGAAATAACTTGAATCTACACTACTTGTGGATGCTTCCCTATGACTAATCATGGCTATATTATTCTTGAGAAGAAGAGTTTTAAAGATTTTTCCTACATATTCCTATCTAAAACTTTGATCTCCTATTGTGACCCCGCCCCACCCCAGGGGTCATGATTTAAACAAACATGAATTTACACTACCTGAGAATGCTTCCACAGACATGTACAATGTACTAATCATATAGCCTTATTATTTTTGAGAAGATATTTAAAGATTATTCTTACATGCATAGTATTCCCATGTAAAACCCTGATCTCTTATTGTTGCCCAACTCTTTCCCCTTTAGCATGATTTGAACAAACTTAAATCTACACAACCTGACAATGCTTCCATATGAATATGAATAATTATGACTTTGCTGTACTTGAAAAGAAGATTTTTAAAGACTTTTCCTATATATTCCTATGTAAAAATTTGGTCCCCTACTCCTGTGGGTCATGATTTGAAAAAAAAATTGAATATACGCTACCTGAGGATGCTTCCATATAGATATGACCAATCAAGGCCTTGCTGTTCTTGAGAAGATTTTAAAAGTTAATTTTCCTTATAAATATATTTCAATGTATAAAACTTTGATCTCTCATTGTAGCCCCAACCTAGCTTAAGTGGACAAAATTTGAACAAACATGAATCTACACTACCTGTGGATGCTTCCAGATAAATGACTTATCATTGCTTTGCTGTTCTTGAGAAGATTTTATTTTTACCTGTATATATTTCTATGTATAAAACTTTGTTCTATTGTGGCCTCACT